TGTTGGTCAACGCTTCTTTTTTCCCAAGCCATTATTTGTGCACGAGAGCTGAAGCGGACAAAGGACATGTGGTTGTTTTGCGAGACATTTCACTTCTGAAAAAATAGTCATTGGACAAAAAAGGAATAAAAGTTGTACGAGCCACTAATCAGGCTCGGCCGGAGGACAGCAAATCAAACGAACGAAGTAGCGGCGAGAGGATGCAAGATATTCGCAAAATCAAATCAAAAATGCTCGAAAACTGGATGCGGAAGTGCCTGAGAAAACATTGAATAACATGCAAAGAAGCTTTTTTTATCCAGTCTTTTTACGAACCGCATGTCCAAGTATTTTTCATTGTGCACAGCTACCAGGTTGTGAACTCAGAAGGGCTCCTGTTTTTTCTCACTTTCCTGCACCCCCGTCTCCCAAATTAGACTTTTCTTTCTTCGACAAAGTTAGTAAACAATGATAAATTTCAGCTAACAGTCAGCCAGCGGCCGGTAAAAAAAGTAAGCTTTTATAGCTTGATTTTTAAAGCAAATTTTCACTGTTCTAAAAACTAGATTTTTTTCTCTGGAAAACTGATCGGCGGTGTGTAATTGTTGTTTTTACTTCCAGAAATCTCGGATCAAACGCGTCGATGTAAGAGTTAGTTATTTTTCTTATTTCAAGTGAAGGCGCATTAGCAAGTAAGGAAATGTGAAACTGTTGCAGACTGAGGAAAATTTGAATTGATGGCTATTAGTACCTCATTTGCGTGCCAAATTTTGACCTGCCGACTCATATACAAATTTGCCCCAATTGTGTTTTGTACATACGGTGCTGTACTGACTTTTGCCTGTTTTCACGCACTGTGAAAATATAGAGGCATTAAAGAATTATGCCTGCGCATATTTTGTGCGTGAGATAGTTTAATTCTAGAAATACGAAATCTAAGAAGGTAAAAATTAGTAGTATAGTTCTTGTCCTTGAGTGGAACATCAAATCTGAAACCAACTTACTTCTGTCCCTGTAGACTCAAGTTGAGCTTGAGCTGATTTTATAATTTGAAAACAAAAAAAAATACAATTTTCGAAATTTCGTGGTGTTCCTTCACCAAATAATTCGGGTTAGCACACTCGCGATCAAGTTCTAACTCCCACTGTTTAACCTTAAATACAAATTTAGGTCAGTTTCGTGAAGTCAGGATTACAAAAAGTTGCAAATTTCGACTGCGTTAGAAGAAATATATAGCCCACCAACTACTTTTAAGTCTCATAGTTTTCTCCCCATGACCGAAGCAGCAGAAATTCAAGACGGAGTAAGTCCTGATTCGGTATTTAAGTGTCCTTCATATGCCGAATCGGTTAAAAGCGAATCATGACGAAG